TGTCAATAACATCATGGGTTGTTAGAGATGTCTTCTTTAATTATCGCACTGTCAATCGTCAGCTCAACTACTTGAAATAGAAACACACGAAACATTTCTACGCCGCTGATTGCATGCGGAAGCTATGGTCGAATTGTGTTAATTGAGGTCCCCAGTAACCACTTGCAAATCCATCAGTTCCGAGGTTAGCAATCAAACTATGCAAAAAAGTTGTACGAACAATTGTGTTTTTATTCTGACAACACTTCAGGTTGGCAAATAAGGAGTTGAACAATTTTTGACTAAAAAAGCATGCAGTATCAATATGCCAGTACACCGTTAGTGTCCACACTCAAACAATAGCCTCGACAGCTGATGTTTACTTCAAGAAAAATGATTCTTCAGAGATGCCATTTCAAAATCGTAGTTCTATACTATAAAGATATGAGCAAAACAAAAGTTATCACGAACTGACAGTACTTTTTGTTCAGCCTGATAAACACTAGAAGCTGCTCACCAATAATAAGGCAGTCTTTTTGCTCGTTACGAGTGAGCTGGCGAGCGAATGGTTTTTCTGGGACTTCCGGCAGAATAACAGTTGGATTTGAAACAGCTTCAGCTGAAAAGAGAGCACGTAAGTGCTTAGCAATAAAATAATAAGGACAACATCTTCGACGATATAAAGACAATATGGATATGAGATGTGAGAGACATACATGAGCGCTCCTCATTGGCTTTGCCAAACCACCACGAAGAAGACTTCTTCGCCTCCCCATTTGTCATTTGTGGTTTTGGGGGCAACCCGTTAGACTGTACATCCCCGCTGTATTGTAATGGTACCGCGTTAACCATCTGAAAACAGCTGCATACAGTAAGTGCCAAAGAAGGAACAATGCAATTAGCAGTGAAGTTAGGTCAAGGTGTACCACAGATACGACTTGTTGTTGAAAACTGTTACAAAGCAACAAAAAGACATACACGATTCAAACTAGCTAAGAAAATCACCTCCTTGAGTAAGCTGTAATTCGAGAAGTGAACTGATTTAATTGCACGACGATCGAGACGCATTGTAGAAGCGCTCGGGATCACAGCTTCATTCCCATCGCGCATACGAACCACATATGGTCCCTGGCATGACAACATTCACGACGAGCATATGTTTTTGGAAAGACGACAGTCGGCGATGCCATGCAATTCCCACAAATTGTACGACTGACTCAGGAAAACTCGAAAGATACAGGACGAATGTAGTCATGCCGCAAATAGGCTCGCACGTAATCGTAGCTATTCGCCGTGAACGTGTTTTCTACGATCGAGCTTTCGTGTGATTAGATGGATTTTAAACACCATTTGAAGAAAGAACGATAACTCTGCATTGTGATGGCCTTAGCAATACTATCGCAACCCATGAGAGGCAGAGTACAATATTGTTTCTTTAGCAGCATCGACAAAAAAAAAACCAAAAACACTTTGTGATACATTGACACATAGACAAGAAACACGAATTTTGCTTTTGATCAAAACTTGGCGTTATGGCTTAGGAAAGGACCTCCCAAAACAGCAAGTTCTTTGTTCCAAGTTCTAAGCATCAGTTTGTTGATTGTCAGCAGCAGTAAAAACAAAAATAGGAGAAACTAGAATGTAGCGGAGTTTGCACCACACCTTGACCACTTCAGTGTTTTGATG